ATCTAGAATAGTCCTGTAAATAGGACCCAATGGAGTTTTTTTTTTGTAATAATCAAAAAGTGAAAAAAATTTGTCCTAAGTCCAAACTTGAATAACATACTTTATATACATTAAAAAACAATAAACCATCCTGAACCTTACCCCAAACCTGACTTTAGAACACAGTATCACAAAAAAGGCACCCTAAAGTACAGAATTGTAGAAAATCTTAAAAAAGACAAGTGACATTTTCTCGTAGTCTTAAACCTTACTTATATATATATATATATATTATAATAATAATAATAATTAAAAAATACACATAAGCTTGTTTTTCTTTTTTTCCCCAAAAAAATACACATCAGCTACTAACTAATGCATCACTTTATACTTAATGGTGATATTGTCCACATCGCATAATTAACACCGTTAATGCCACATTAACACCCCTCTGAAAGTGTAGGGACCTAAAGTGCAGATGGAGAATGTAACATCTCAAATTTTAATCCCTAAATTAACTAAGCTTAATTATAATAATTGAATAAATTGATATGGTGTGTAGCTAGAGAGGTCTAATGATTGATTTTGGATGTGTTTTAGCCCTAATTATAGGTTTAGTGTGAAGTCAGGCCACCTAATTATCAAAAGGAGAAGAAAACAAGGATGAAGTATTTCTATGCCACATGCCGCATCTTGTAATATGTTCACCGTGGCATACAGATAACAACTAAAGTGAAAGGAGACCTCTCTGTGACATGCACTGTGGCACGTGCAGCGTGAGCCACAGTGCACAGTGTTTTTTTTGTAGAACTTAAGTCATGAACGAAGGCAGAAAATAGGAAAGAAAAAAGAGGAAAATGAAGAGCAAGCAAAAAGCACTGTTAAGGTTCATATTTTGGGGGGTATTTAGGACATTTTGGAAACTAAAAACACCAAAGGTAAGTATCATACATCTTAAACTCCTGTTCTCTTTCACATTTATGAAGTTTTTGGTTAAGGTTTGATAATGGAGGATGATTGTTGGTCCATATAGGTTATGGATCCGAATACATTGACTCAAATGGAGTTAATGGAAGTAAATTTGAGTAGATAACCCTAGAAGTATTAAGTTTTGATACCTTTGATTGTTGGACCTCATTAATATCCGAATTTAGTATTAATGAGGGTTTTTAGAAGAATGGCAATGCCATTAATAGGAATTTAATAGCTCATTAATGTTAATAGAGACTAAAGAGAGTTAATAAACCCAATGGGTAGGCCCTAACATAAACAATGTGGGCATTGAAAATTCTAAAAGTGAAAGATAAGAGTTGAAATGTGTGGGTTTGACATTGTTGATGAAGTTTAACTTGATTAATTATAGATTGAGTTCTTAAACACAATTTTGGCTTGGGAATCAAGCTTGGACGCTTAGAATATTGAGGGGTAAATCTTTGACCTCTTAAAGGCTTGAGGTAATCGGGGGAATCCTACTTTGGGTAGTTTTATGTTAATTGTGATATAATGTGAAATATGTGTTTAGAATGTAAATTGTGATTTTGTGAATATGTGTAACATGCTATGAAACTATGTAATTACATAATTGCTTTGGTTTGAATTAAAGATGCAAAAAAGATTGCAAAATGTGTTTTAAAGTTTCATTATGATGGTTAATTGAGTAGTTGATAATGATTGAGAATGATAATGATAAATGTGCTATGATTAAAAATGGGTAATATATGTGATAAATGTGAAGATAATGAGATTTGATGCTTACTTGGATAGCACATGATTGTGAGTCCAATGTGTTGATTTGAAAATGAAATTTGTGAATTTTAAGTAAGCATCGTTTATGGCATGATCAGTAAACAGGAGTTTGCCTAAGGATGGGAATAAAAAAAATCCATATGATATTCTAGCGGCCCTCCAGTGTATAGGGGTATAGCCTTGTCTCATAATTTATCGAGAAACTGTCCCCTAGTTTGTCGAGAGACTAGAGCCTAGCTATCACCGCCAGTTTATCGAGGAGATTAGTTTAAAGTATACAACACCCTAGAGATTCAAGAATAGGGAAAGTTGTGGTCTGAGAGTGAGTCATATGATTTTTAGCTGGGTTACACCTCACAATTGGTGAGCTTAGGTAGTCCAGTTACACGAATGGAGCCTTATTTTGTGTTATAGCCTACAATTTTAGTCGAAGGAAATAAGAAGGGTATGAGAATAGTTTATCATTGCCTATGTGACTATATGACATGTCACACAATTGAGTTGTGGCAAGTCATGTTAATATATCGAGTCATGGTCAAATGTTTGAGTGTCTTGTGGCTATGTACTAAGTGATAAAATGGAAGCGAATTGATTGAGAAAGGATGTGTTGTGATACATGTGAACTAAGTATTGTGGCATTTTTTATAAAAATATATTTTCATACTCTTATGTTTTATTTCAATTAATATAGAACTGCATAGGGTAGGTTTATCTTGGTTAATAAGTGACTAGACTCACCCCTCTCCTTTAACATTTTACAGGCTTTAGCTCTAGTGTAAAGAGGGATAAATCTCCAGAGGCTTAGGAATCTATGCATTCCTAGTATAGGCCTTTAAGTATTGTTTATTTGGTGTAATAAACTTTATATTGCCAATTCTTGAATGCATTTTTTTTATACTTGCATTATAAAGTTGTTTAAAATGTCTAGGTTATATTTTAGGCCTTGAGTAGTTGTGTATGATAAGTTATGTATGTTGATAGGGCTAAAATTCTAGTGCAAGTGTAGAAAGTTGTTTTAAGCATGATATGATTGATTTTTGATGCAATCTAATGAAGTTACCTCCCCTTTATATTTTTGGTATTAAAGGGATTGAGGAGTGTTTTTGTGCTATACTTGTATTAGAGGGTTTGTGGTGTGTTATACTAGTAGTCCTAGGTCTAATGAATATAGTTTGGGTGTTATGAATGGCTTTTAGTACTTGTTTTGGGTTTTGGACACCCTTTTGTATGTGAAAGTTTAAAAAAGTGGTGAAAATATGTTTAAGTGTCCAACTTTCTAGTGTGATTGATTTTGGAAGTGAAACCCATGCCATTAGCTAGTTTATGAAAAGAACTTTTCATAGACACTTAGATCACGTAATTCAAACATCAAACAAAGATTTAGGGCGAGTCAGAAGTTGCCCAGTTCTACTATCATCTGACAACAGAATTGTTATCATTGCAAGCAACACGCCACAGTGCATAAAGCCTGAGCCACAGCGTGTGGCATAGAGAGCAACAAGCCATAGCACATAGTGCACAAGCCGTGGCACATTCTCTATTTTTCAACCATTTTTAATTCATTTCACTTCTCTGCGGTATCCCATACTCCTATAACTTATTTTTACTCTGATTAAAGTGTTAATGAATGGATTTCACTCATTTCAACTTATAAAAACTTAAGATCCCTTATTTCAAAATTATTACTTAGTAATCTACTTAAGAGTTAATCCCGTGATTACCTTCATTTATGGTCATAATAGTGTTTAGTTTTTGAGGATATTTCAACTTGCTATCAGAGCGGTTCAAAGAAACTTGTAAAATCTTAGAACATCGAAAATAAAGTGCAAGGACCACAAATCACATGCAAAGTGTAGGGATTGAAAGTTATATTTTTCCTAATTATTTTAAGAACCTAATTTGAATAGTTTATGAAAATAATTTGACATAATAAACGTGAGAGAATGCCAAAAAAATAAGGGATACATGAGATATTATAAAATTATAAAACTTAAAATAACTAAATAATAAACTATTTTTTATAAATAAATATCCACAAAAATATCATAAAATTTAAAAATAACTATATAATAATTACTTTTAATAATTATAACCAAACATAAAATAACATCTATTTTTTATAAAATTTCTACAAAATAAATCTCTTTTTTTAAAAAAATTTATAAATTATCTAAAAAAATACTTACTCCCTCTATTCAAAAATGTAAGGCATTTTTAACTGAATCTCACCCCCCAATAAAGTAGTTACCTATTTTTAAACTAACTCTATCTTTTTATATTTACTCCTATCAAACATCTTATAGTAAACAATTATTGCATTTTAAAAAATTAAAAATGTATTATATTTTTAAATATCTAACTTCTCAAAAAATACCTTATATTTTTTAACGGAGGGAGTATTTTTTAATCTTATACAAATGGGGCCCTTGATGTGCCCAACCAATATTTCAAACATAATTGCCTTGAATATGAGATATTTGGTGCATAATAAAAAGGGTAAAAATGATAATTTGGCCTTAAAATCTAGTCTAGAAGCATCTTAAATCCTAAACTTGTATTTGGTACATTTTTACTCCTTAATATTTAAAATTATGGCAATCTGCCATGGCTATTAACTTTGACTATAAATTAATCAGAAAATTGTAGAAAAATATATCAAAAGTTTCAAAAAATAACCAAAACAAATTATAAAAAACGACAAAAATTTAAAAAAGGAACAAAAAAATAAAATTTGTAATTTTTGAGTTCTTTTCTATGATTCTTTTGATCCTTTTTCAGTAATTTGAGGCTTTTTTTTTTTTCCTTTTTCCTGGTATATCAACAAGAGATTGACACAATTTTAAATGTTTATAAATGGAAATGCATGAAAATCGAGTTTGGGATAAAATAAGCTACAATATCCATGTAGATAGAATATTGCATTTTATTATATTGATATAGATTTATTATTTGAACGAAACGAATCTCAATTTGGATGGTTCATTATGATGTTGAACCGCGAAAACAACTGCAAAAGTTGAATATACCGCGCAAAAAAGTGAATATAGTATGGTATTGAAGCAGGAATTAACGAGAACAGCTTTATTTGGTTAATCTTTTCTTTATACCAACACCAAACTTTACCCTGAGCCAAACGGGAAATGGATTATCTTCTTTTGTAAACATCTTTTTAATTGCCCTACAATTTACATTATCTTCTTCTGAGCCCAAAGAACAAGTGGCAGTAACCATGGCGGATGACGACCACGATGACCACGTGTTGAATTAGATGCGTTCTAACAAGGCTTGATATGAGTGGTTTTCGTCTCGTAGCTACTCAACAACTCATCTTTGGACACCATTCTCAGAACCTTCACCAAATCCCTACACATCTTCCTCACATGATCTTCGCATTCTCTTTGAAGCACAAGCAGTATCTTCGTCACTCCATTGCTCTTCACAACCTTTCCTTGTGCATTGCCGTTCCGGTGATTACAGCACAAGCCCCACAGCACCACCACTGCGTCCTCCGTCGCCGCCTTCGACTCCCTCACCAGCCTCTCCGTCACCGCCTCCAAGCATCCCGGCTCCTCCGTGATCACATGCCTTCCGTCTGCACAAGTCGATAGTATCGCCAGCAATCTCATGGATTTCTCAGTGGTTGAATTGCTTGAGGTTGATGATGATGATGGGTTCTGTAAACTTTTGGTCAGAATCGGAACGATTCCGAACCGGACGAGTTCAGTTTTTGTTGACTGAGTCGCTGAAACGGATATCAAGAGAGAGGAAACGGCGTCGTTTAGTTTGGAGCTGGTATTGTTTTCTTCGCGTAGTAGGTGGACAAGTACGGACAAAAGGCCCGGCGTCTCGGCGACTGATCGCTTCGATTGAACATCTCCGGCAAGCAATTCGAGGACCGTTACCGATTCAACCTTCGAGGTCTTAGAGCTTCCGTTTGACAAAATCGAGATGATCGAAGATAGGAAATCTCGATTAGCATCGAAAACCAAGGCACGAATTCGTTCTCTGACTCCATTTTCCCGCATGATCGAAATCAAAACCCTGATCGCCATTTCTGAAATCTCAACCTGAGAACCCTGCCTGCCGAGAACACGAACGATCGTCGAGTCGAACCCATGGAAATTAGACAAGAAAATCCGATTCTCGTCCGAGTACCCGACGAATTCCGCGATCTTGGAAAGCGAAACAGAAATATCGTCATTCTCATGTTGTTGAATTTCATGAATGAGAGACGTAACCTGTTCGGGGGAGATTTTGGAAGGAGAAGAAAGCGAGGGAGATAGCTTCAGATTCTGGATGAGGCGGTGGAGAGTGAGGTTGGGGATGAAATCTTTGGACGAGAGGACTTGCATGGTCGCTGGACAGGTGTCGTGGCCAGCGTCGAGCCAGTGCTGGATGCTGGAGCGGTCGTATGTGACGCCGGTGCAGAGGCTTACCGGAGACCTCATTACGTCCATTGAGATGGGGCACCGGAAGAGGCTTGGAACGGCGACGTATAGCTTCTCCCTCGCCATTATTCCCTCGCTGCTCAGAAAAGAGAGATCACGAGCATATATGTATATACCTAGGAGGAGGAGGGGAAACAAAAAACGGCGATAGTTTCATGGGAAGCGAAGTCAGAAGAGTGTCGTTAGTCAAAGTTGCGTGTAGTGCCATAATGTAGATGGGCCCGATGTACTATGACTGTGTGTGTATGCGACTATGTGTAATGTAAGAATAAAAGTGTGTCAGACGAAGCTTAAATTCCGAAAACGACATCTCCGTTTAGTTTTGGAATCTGTAAACGAAAGAATAGGAGTAGAATATTTTTAAAAATATTAATCTGAATGTCGTTTTAATTTTCATTAATTTTAAATTAAATTTTTTTGATTTATTTTTCTTTTTTAGTTTCCCAATATATCTCCACATTTAGTAGTCATAAAACTAAGGAATTTAAATAATTTATTTTGTGTTTTTAATGCATGAAAGAGTAGATAACTAGTTGCTTATTTGTTTTAATCAAACTTGTTAGTTTGTTTTGCCAGCAATCAAATTTTTATATGTTGATTCATTTAATATGTTAATCCATGAATGATAAAGTTATTAATAAATGATAAAATTTTAAAAAAAAAAATAATTTTAAAGTGTATAAAAAATTTTATTTAATACTTTCGATTAAAAAATTATTTAATACAATGTTTATATTTTTATTAATTTTTTTAAAAATTATATATGTACAAAAATTATTTAAAATAAAATTTAATTACATAAATTTTGAGTTATAAAAATTATATGATTAATTCTAATATTATAAATTTTTTAATAAAATATAAAAAATATTAATTTAATTTTTTTAAAAATTTAAGAATTTTAACCTGGGTTAACAAAGTTAATAGATCAAATTATAAGAGCTTAATTGAAAAAAATAAATTAGATGAACCTAATTTAAAATTAAGGGAAACAACGAGAATTTACAGATTAAGTTTTTTTTTTTATGAACTTTTCGTTTTCTTTTTATGGGGCCAGATAACTATTCGTATTCGAGGCAAATAAAAGAACAACTTTTTGCATTTGAAAAGATTTACAATATACTTCATTGATTTGCTTAAGAAACGGAGCGTAATATTTGGGGTGCGTTGAACTCACGGCTTTGGGTGCACTTTTTTTTTTCCCCACCCCCCAGATCAGAGGCAGAGTTATTTATTTTTATGTGGTGGGGCCGTCGGAGACTCGAGACTGGGTCGTTTGGGTTTGGTTGAAGGAAAGGCGAGGGAAAGGTCTTGTTTGGTTAAAATTTTGGAGGGGAGATATACTCTCGTTGTTTGGTTAAAATATAACAAAAAGAAAAGTCATAAAATTTTAAGAAAAAATGGCCAGTAAGTCTTTCCTTGAAGTTGAAAATGTGCTGGAGGATCAAAAAATCAGAGTGCAATAATATCCGTTTAGGATTTCTTGGCTATCAACTTGTACACTAAACCTATTTGTTTGCACCATGGTTTTTTATTCATATTAAATTTTTTATATCAAGTATATTTAAGGATAATATATTTTATCAAAATAATTTAAGCTATTTAATTAGATACTTTTTAAGCTTATATATTTATAATATATCTTCTAATTTTTATATGTGAACACTCTTTTATGTTTTAATATTCTCTTTGTTACTTTTTATTTTTTATTTTTTTCTTTTTTCTCCTTCTTCTCGCCTTGGGTTGTACCCATTTTGAAGTTTTACAGGTTTCAGGTCTATTCAATTTCTCCTTCTCTTCCTTCTCCTTCTCACTTTTTTAATCTCTCTTTTTTCATCTCTCATTCTTTCAATTTTTTTTATTTTTCTCTTTTTTTTGTTTTGGTTCTCGCGATCGAATGGCTCATGATACCACATTATATTTTTTATATTAAATATGTTTCAGGATAATATAATTCCTCCAACACAATTTCAATTCTAAAAAAGCATTTACTGGTAATTTTTCCAAATTTTAATGAAGTTTTTCCTTCTAAATTGAGTGGACTTGGAGGAATTATGAAAATCCCATACTTTTTTTTACCTCCTCCTTTCTCTTTTATAAGTGCATTTCCTCCTCCAAAATTTCTTTGCTTCCCCTTAACTAAACCAAACACTATATGGCCCATTGAACTTGACGCTATTTAGAAGTTAATAAAAGATATCTGTTTTAATTTAAAAAATATAGTTTACTCTGAAAATATATAATATAAATTTTCATAATAACTTTAAACAAAGCAATCTCATTTAAATCAGTCTTAAAATACTTGAATATATAAAAAATTCATATAATTAAGTCTAACCTTAACATCTCAGGCTTTTAGATTGTGTCAAATACCTGAATTCTTAAATATTATATTATATTATTTTTTCTTTTTAGAAAATTTCAATTTTTATATTTAAAAATTAATATTTTTAATTTTTATCTTATTTTAATAACAACAACAACAATATCTCTTCAGATATTCAAGTTAAACTTATTTAGGTTTACACTTGATCTATATTTCTTTGAATTTATTCGAGCAATTTAAATAAATTTAAAATAAATAAAAATTTTAAAAATCTTAAGCTCAAATTTATCTGCTCTAATACTATGCCTTCATGGAGGAAATTGTTCAATCTTCCGGGATACGTTTCTAATGGGCGAAAATATCCTTAAGAACCATGAGCTATATATATTTTCTTGTTTATTGTTTATATTTTCATTTATTTAATTATTTGATTATTATTCTGGAAAACTGAAAAGGAGGTGGGTAAGGTGATATGGTTCATATCCAGGAATATGAGCCAATTGAAATCATATGGGTTAGGAAAAATACGTATTGGATTAGATTTAACCCATTCTCACGTGAATCAAAAAAATTTAAATTCAACCTAATTCAACTCTTAAAAGATTGACGAAATAAATGAGTTAATCCATCAAGTCATTTATTTTTTTTTAAATTTATTTTTCATGAATTTTTTTAAAGATACATATAAATGATGAGTTTCAATTTAGTATTATTTTAAATATATTAAAATATTAATTTATAATACTCGTGCACAATATATAAATTGATGCAGTTAAATAAATCAAGCTTAATATGGCTTATACCCCTAGAATTTTTCCCTTTTTTCTTTTTAAAATTTTTTTAAAAATAATATATTTTAGATGGATCAATCCTAAACCATCAAGATTAGCTCATATAATTTGCAAATTATATGGTTTGGGTAAAAAAAAAAAAACTTATTTTTATTTGGGCTAACTTTTTTTTAACCCAATCCAATCTTTACGATTAATTATTTAGGTCAATTCACATTCCTAGCTTTGGATATTAAACACGGACATACAGGCATTTGTGATATTTTTATTGGCTCAATTATACAATACGAGGAAATTATGATATTCAGACATTTATGAACTAAAATTTATATAAAATATTAAATCTATTAATATATTGTTGGTAAATAATTCTATTAATGCTTTTTAAAATGAGTTAAAAAGCAATATTTCTCTTCAAGTATTCTAAATTATTTGTTAGAGTAATAAGATTCCTCAAATTATTACCCAAAAAAAAATTTGCTCATCAAGTGTCAAAATTGTTGAAATATTATCCCTTTGATTAATGGATATTAATGTTGAATGTTAACTTTAACTTTGATGGATTAAAGAGTATTATGCTCCTAACAAATTCATAAAAGAGTAACTATCACTCTAAATTTAATTATGTGAAGCAATTTTACACATGTTTTTTTCATTTAAAACTCATGACACTCTGTTTAAGATGTCACATGTTTTACAAACCAATTGAATATTTAAATAAGGATTAGGTTTTAAAAAAGGAATGAAAAATGAAAAACCAAACTTAAAGGCTTAGGCTTTTATTAGAATGAAATCTAGACCATTCAAAATAAAATTTAGACCATTCAAAATAAAATTTTAAGGATGAGTACCATGACCTCATCCTTAGAATGAAATCTAGACCATTCAAAATAAAATTTAGATGGTTCAGATTTAATATATTATTATAATTATATTTATTAAAATAAAAAATTATAAAAATTATAAATAATTTTTTTATTTTTAATCTTATTTAAATTTAATTTAGCGGGTTTAATTTAATATTAAAATTTTTATAATTAATTATATTGATTATTCAAATATACCCTACATAGTCCTGAATTGTGTAGAATATATCTAGATAATCAATATATGTCAACAATAAAAATTTTAATATTAAATTAGACCCTCTAAATTAAATTTAGAGTAGATTAAAAATAAAATATTTTTAAAATTATTTTATAATTTTTATTTTAATAATATAATATATAATAATATAATAATAATACTTTAAATCTAGACCATCCAAATTAAAAATCTGAATGGTCCAGATCTCATCTCAAGGATGAGCACCATCCTTAATATGAGTAGGGAACCAATTCCATCATGTTTGCAAATAGACACCCACAAAACACTGTTTACTCATTCTAAAAACTTTTTTAAGGTATTCTAATCCAGCCTAAAACATTTCTAAGGTCTAGAACAAGTTCTAAAGGATTTCCTTCGTAAGATCAGGCAACTACATCTAAGAGAGGGTAAATTGGGTGTTTAGAAAATTTATAACTAAACATAAACTTTTACAAAGTTTAGCTTAATTGAAGATCCATGAAGAAGTTCAACATAAACAAATTTGTGTAAATCCCAAATACTTTTATTGCAAGGAGCTTGAAAATCACTTAACAACAAACAAAAATCAAGGTCACAAAGGCTTTTGAACATAAAACTGAAACACTTGAAAATTGATTAAGCATAGAAGGTTAAAAAACTAATTTATTAGATTAAGTTTTTGAAGACAAAAAGAATATTAGCTTCCAAAACCAAGAATTAAGGGAGAGAGATCATAATAAGTTGAATATAAAGAGAGTAGGGATAGAGATATTACACAAAGCAATTTATTTTGGTTCAACTCAACCACTTGACTTTCATCCAATCCTCAGAACACTCATGAAATTTCTTCATTAATATCACAAGCTTAAGTGGGTACTTGCCAT